TAGATGGCTAGGTAGTCACATTGCTATTCAGGTCACCCTACAGGCATGTGAGTACAAGATGTTTCTCAAATGATCTACTATGTGTTAAATTTCAGCTTGTAAAAAATTCTGATTTCAAATTTCTGAAAACAGGTTGATATTTAAAGGAACATGCTGATCAAATCTATCAGAACAGCAAAGGTTTGAACCAAAGTTTAAACACATTAAACAGTTTTTATGTCATTCCTTTTTACACCATATACTGGTCGTATTTAGAAGAATCCTAAAGTGCTTCAAACCTAGCAATTGATAAAGTTGATTTCTTTTGTGCAAAACTGCAAACACCTTTTCAACAAATAAGCAGCAGCATCAAGGATAAAAACTGAAATAATTAAATGTATCTTCTCTATTTTGTTTTGAATTCTTGGACCAAAATAATTTGCCATATTTTCAATAACAAATTGCAGAAGAGTGCATTTTATTACTTTAATTTTATGCTCAACTTGTTATACATATACTGTTTGAAATAGCAGACCCAGGTAAATTCATATCCACAAAGCAACACTATGGGATTGAAATGCAACAACTAAAATTTTAGCTACAAAAATAGTCATTTTATAGAACACAAACAGAAATGATGGTTATCTCTCCACTTTCCTCCAACACTAATATGAGAAAAGATGGTTTACTTAAAATGTTAGTTTAGCTCCAGACATTTTTAGCATGCAGAGCGGGCAAAAAATAAAACTGATTTGATAAATCGTGTAATAAGCTTTTAGAACATCACTATCACTCATGTAATAGACAATCTAAAATGAATGTAAAATAATGAGCCAGAATACACTTTTCCTGTCACATTTCAACATGTTAAAAAAAAAAGACACTCTGGAAAAGCAAAGAAATCACTAGATTCATCTATAGGAACTCAAGTCCAAATTCTGCATCTGGGTGCAGGTGTCCCTGGATCAAAACCAGTTTTGAGCAGGAATTACACAATACACATCCCAGGAAAGAATTTGGTTCCCAGTATATGGTATCACTAAGTTTAGCATCAAGCCCTGATAGAATCCATATGACATATGTAGAATATACAGACAAAGGCTGTTCAGCATTCACACACCCCCCCCGCCCGGGCTTAAAGTATTTCCATTTCAAGTGTCACAATTCAAATGACACACTCCACACAAACTGTATTGCTGCAAGACTGAACCCGTACTCCAAAATGGCATTGTGTTCAGTAAAGATTTGTCTGCACTTTAACATGTGAACTTCCAGCGCACACCAAACCAGGGGACTGCACTTCTGCCAAAAGAAGGGTCATCCACTCAGTTCCTGGAGTTTCAGTATGTCAACTCTATTTTGAATGTCTAAATCCTACTTCATTCATAAAATTATAATTTTAAGCCAAATACAATCAGATCTAAAAAGGAAACCAATTTAGCATTTAAGGTCCTTCCATTAGGAAAGAAAAATTAAACAAATGGAAGCACTTTTTTTTCTTAATTGATTTTGAATAAACATGTATGCTCTGTTAGGACTTCAAAAAGACAAAGAAAACCTCAAGAGCCCTCTGGTTCCTAACAGTTGTGAAGCTTACCAACCAACTAGTTGATTTCTAGTTAAGGTTGAGTTTATTTTTCATTATTTTGACAAGGAAATGCAAACCCTTACCAGAAACATTACAAAACTTCAAAGGTTGTTTGCAAACAGTAGTTTCCAGTAATTAGACTACTTTCTTTTGTATGATCCATGCAGACAAAGCCTTAATTTTGACATTCATTTGTTGTCTTTTTCAATAAAAAACTAGACTTGTCATATCACAGTATTTCCTCAAAGCACACTTACAAGCTTCTTATCCAGATTTCAAAATGCCAAGCTTCTCTTTCTAAGGTTTTTTTTGAGGAAAAATGATATGAGCACAGATGAAATGAACTCTTTAAAACATACTCCATTTCTGCAATGCCATTCAGCTACTCAGTGTTCATACATTTAACATAACGTTTCTGGTAAATAATCTGATTGATTGCCATAGATCCCTCTCTCTTTTCAGGTGAGCAGTTAAGATTACAGATTGTATCTATGTTGACCACCACTGATTTTTAGTCATATTTCATAAACTGCTTATGTATACTGCAGTAGTGTTAACACTATACAAAGTCTCTCAAAGAAAAGTAACATTCATGTTTACAAAACTGAGCAGGTTTCTTAATATATATGTATATGTATACACACGCTCACATATTCTTACTCTTTAAATACATATAAATATTTATAAATGCCAAAGTGCAAAAAAATGGTCAATTGCATCATTCTACATACATGATTTTAGTATTAGGAATAAAAGTGATTATATTGCACACCAAACTCTTTAAACTTTTAAACCCCTGTCAAGTTACACGTGCATTTAGTTTTCCATCAATGACGAGGTTCTCACAGCATTGACGACCATTTCACAAACATGGCACTGAACTTAATCTGCAGTCAGGAATACAACTATATGTATATAATCTGCATGCAGTACATTTAGTCTATATGTGCACACTGAAATAGCATGGGAAATTTAGCATGCATCTATTTTGCATGCGTTTTTCTGAATATAATCTGTATATGTGCCTTTTTGAGATCAGTGTTCATTCAGGTTGTTAGCATTTTGGTTTTGAATTATAATGGAATCAAAATCCACAATATTCACAGACATTTCATGCATGCTCTGAAGGCAGCAACATTTCTGTAAAATTTTGAAGCTTCAATGTATGCCATAGCAAGAAGACATTAAAAAAATAAGGTATGAGACACCTTTTCCTACAACAAGATTTACAAATAAGCTCAGTTAATCTCATGGGGTTTTTTTGTTCCAAGAGTACATATTCAAGCTAACAGTATGTACTAGGAGAAGGTCAGATATCAGTTCAAATCACGGAGATAGGGCAGTTATGTTAAAAAACATTAAAAGACAATTTGAATCACTGAATAATTGAGGTTAGAAGAGACCTGGAGGTCATCTGGTCCAGCCCCCCATTGTTCTGAGCAGCCCAAGTCCAATAGGAAAAATTCAACTCTGTGAATATTCCCCCCCCCCAAATCTTTGTTAAGTCTTCTAAAGCAGTAACTATTAAAATTAACATAGCACAGTGCAATTTCAGTTGAAAAGGATAAAAATCTTGAAAAAATGAAATCCAGTAGATTGCTTCTATATAGATTCACTAATGTTCATTTTGAATAGGTGTCTTTAGTTATTTTAACAAATAACAAGGATTAAAGAAATGCAAAAGAACAGCAACCTGTACTGTTCTGCTATAGAGTAAATAAGTATTTTAAATTTTTTTTTCCAGTGACAAAAATGCACTAAAAATATCTCAGATCTACCATCAGCATCCAAAGATAAACTAAGGTATCCATAGGTTTAAAATCAAACAACGAGAAAAAACCCAAGCCCCAATATCCTGTAATTCAATTAAATAGAATTTTAAAAATTCAAGATTCCAGATGATAATTCTGAAGTTAACATCATATTGAGTACTTTGTTAATTTTTAAATTATTTTTAACCTTCTGGGATGGTAAAACCTTAATATTTTTGCCACAGCAAATTAAGATATTAAAAAGGGGTACAATTTTAATATAAAAGAAATGTTTGCATAAAGAGAAATCGTTGCTCTTCAAATCCTAAGATCAGAAACAATGGACAACTTTCTTTTACAAGAGAAATACGTCAGTAATGCAGTGGCTGGCTGGGCCAGTGTATTTTATAAGTTCTATTTATATATTCAAGTCAAGAGTATCTGGATCAACAGCTAAATATAGTGCCTTTAAGGAAGTGGTGTTTTACCTTGTACATCTCTACCACTCTTACAGTTATGAAGTTTAGACTCACATACATGCACACAGAAGATCCTTTAGCAAAATTTCACGCCTGTGCACTCCAAAGTGAATGTGCACAAATTCACAAGTGTGTAGTATACAGCAATTTAAGCCCTACTCTACTGCAAATGCATTTTCTAATTCAAATATTGTGCAACGTAACAGGCAATGCTTCTATTATCTGATTCTGGAAACTGTACTGATAAGCCTGTATTGAAACAGCAAATAATACTCTCCTCTTCTCTGATGCTGTATTTAGAAAATACGTATTAAGTGTGTTTTCCTCCCCCAGTACCAATGGAGAGGTTTTACTAAGGCGGGACTAGAGCTAAGCTCTGTTAACTAAATACTTAATTTACAAGTGACTCAAAACTACTGTATTTTTATTCCTTTAATTACTCACTAGATAGTATGGACCCGTTAAAAAAAATGGAAAACATCTATGCAGCTCTGTTTGAGGCTGCAAGTCTCTCCAATTCATCTGTCCTTTTATCAGAGTTTGCAGTGAATGAAGAGCACCACAGATAATTTCCTTTTCTGTCGTTTTTTGTTAAAGGACCAGTATCACAAGCTAGAAAATACAGAACATTTTAGCACTCTCTCCTCTTCTAAACAGGCACTGCTTCACAGATAAGTCACTCATCCTTCCTTAAGATTTAATTAAGCCACTGTATCTTCCACCCACATTTAAAAAAAAAAGTTAGACACACATACTTATAGGTGAAATATAAAGTAATGGCTATATTCTTTAAACTTCATGTTTATCTCTTCTACAAGAAGATAGAATTGTTGGAAAGTGAAGATAGAAAGGGCTCAATAAAAAAAAAAGTGCTATGTGGAAGAATAACTGCCCTTTAAACATAGTACTGAGAGTGTTCAATGTGTGAGTTCACACTTAACATATAGCACTCCAGTTGTTAAATAAAGCAAACTGCCAGTCACACGTTAAAACAAACTTCATAGAGACTATACATTCAAAAAACCTACTAATGAGCAATACTGAACTAAAATGTAAACAACCATTGTGTCACAGAAGCCTGCCAGTTGGGACTGAAGATTCATGAACCCACTTAAGAGGAGTTATTGCCTAAAAGTCTATTATAACTGCTCACCTGAAATAGGCTGAAACAAGGAAAAGCCTAAAATAGTGTCTAAATTTAAATTTTTGTTCTTTAGACATTAATTTGCTTTCATTCTACAACATTAAGCAGGCAATTTCATAACAACTGAGTAAAAATACAGGCATTACTTTAGCAGAACATGCAGAACATGGAGTTTTTCTACTTGGTTCCATTAACTCACAAGCAATTCAGGCCCAATGGAAGCAAGAGTTCTTTTCCAAAGTCAAGTCTGCAATCCTGGCTGATCATCGACATCCTTCAAGGGGTCCTGTCAAGGCATCGAGGCTGCTGTCTGTATCTGAGGCCAATGTTTGCTCTGTTGACATGGATGAAATGTCATTGATAGATGATGACTGGGAAGGACTGGTGTTGCTATTCACTGCTGCATCTGTGCTAAGTAAACCAAACATAATAAAATCTGAGGCAAGACAATATTGCAGGTACAAATAACCACACTTCTAGGCTCTGAGCACCACTTTCCCCACAGAAATCCTTAGAAAATAAAGAAATTAATAAACAGTACAAAAGCAAACACTAAGTTCTCTAGCACTCAAAACTTGAGGTGAACATTAAGAGAAGAGATTTTTATTTTTCTCCCTCTCTGAGGAGGAAGGGGGATGGACAGCGGTTGTATAATGTGAATAGTGACCTGACTATCAAGAAATCTAATAGATATAGTTAATAAAAGACAGTACAATATTACAATTACTGAACCAAGAGAACAGCAGCAAACATCAAGGATTCAATCATGGGCATAAATACTTTGTACTATTAACTATTCTAAAGGAACCCTAACAATGTTTAGCCCTATGTGAAAGGGACTCATTCATGCAGAGCCACAGAATAAGCATTCAGTATAAAAGATATCTATGCAGCAAGTGATGTAACATGGTATCGATTATTTCATTTGATGACTGAGCCCTTTGGGGAGAAGGCAGCTCAAGGTGCTGGACAGAAGACTACTTAAGTTTTCCTACAACTTACTTCATAACAATGAAAACCTCCAAAAGCAGATCAGAATCAAGTCTTGAACAACAAAACTTTTGCCTACCTGGATTATTAAGCAGGATTTCTTCATTCACTAGTGCAACGGATCGGCACTATGTATCATAGTTACAGGAGAACTACTGAAACAATGACTAACCTGAGGGCTGATCTTTTACCACACCATTCTTGCTCCTTTCTTCCCAATCCATTACTTCTTTGTATATTAATTCTTAAGAGACAAGGGTGAGAAGAATGAGAGAAAAGACAGAAAAAACATTGTAAGACTGCAGAGGATTTGTATACAATTCACATATGTATAAAAGTACAATGAAATGGTTAAAGGTCAGTCTGGAAGTACAACTGTATAGGTATTTATTTTCCTTCCACATACTTTTTTTTTGTGGAAGGTCTACAGTAATGATTAGAGAATTCTATGGATTTCCTTTATGCATCACAGAAAGACACTAAGCAAGTACCAAAATCAACATGTTTTATAGATAGAATAGCTGTCCATTTAAAAATAACAACCACCCCACCCCAAAACTTTATGTATACCTATGATGCACTAATATTAACTGAAAAAAAAAAACCAACCCCAAAATTGGATTTAGATTAAAAAACCCCACCCAAACACATATGGATAATCCCCATGGAAATTTTACTTTGGTAACAAAACCATACACAAACATCATTATTCCTAAAGAACAATCTCCATAGATACATTGAGGAAAGTCTGGAAATTTTGATGTAGGTTAAACAAACTATTAAAATATTGCATGAAAAAAACCTCTCATTTACTAATCAAGGACAACTTCAGATACAGGATCCTAAACAACAACAATAAAAATCAGAGCTGTAACTTTAAAGGAGCATCCCTTATTCTGTTTGATATGTCTGTAGTATGGTTCATGCACAATGGCTTACCTCAGCCCCTTCTAAAGCAAAAGGATTATTACTGTTGCAAAGCACCAGGTACACTTTAAGTTATACCCTTAGTTAACTCACAGTAGCTTGTGTATGTACCCATAGTCTTAATGTAACTAAGAGTAGCAATATTTAAATAGATTAAGATCTCTTTAATTCTGAATAACAACATTTACAAGTGGATTCAATTAGATTTAACGGTTCCATTTTAATTTTCCACCTTGCATTAATCCAAAAGTATTTAAAGCACACCTGTGCAGACATGCCCTAAAGAAAATATATATAAGCCAGAATCAGTACCTGAAATTTGTAAAGCTGTTTTACAAAAACAAGCAGCTTTCAAAGTAGTCAGCAAAGATGTCTATCTCTCTTGGTCCTGTGATAGCAGACACTTAAAATTTGAACTGTCTCACGACTTAAATGTTTTTGACTAAAATTATAAGGTGTAATTGATTTCAATACCACAATGCTGTTTATTTTTTTAAGTCAACAGTTTAACCTATTTGGTCAATAAATAAGCAATGAGAGGAAAAAAAAACACCACACCAAAAAACTCTTCTGATATTTAAGACATCTAGAACAAATGAATTAGTAAATATTGTCAAGACATATGGCCTAAATAATGCACACTGACAAGAGGCACGTGTTTCTCTTTCAGAGAATTTTCTACCAAGGAAAAAACCATTGAGATTACAAACACTTAAGAATAACAAAATACTCAGAGGAAGGGAAGGAAAAAAAAGAAAAGAAAACTGCAGCATTTCATTGAACAGACTTCAGAATGTTACTTGTATAAATATGTACATATACGCACACATATATATTCACTCCAAATAGAACATTTTTCCATTATTGATTTCTTTTCACATTGCCACAAGCAGTACTGCATAATTGGAATAGTTCTGAATAACTGGGTTGCAGGCAGTTACACAATCCAGCAAACATACTGCAAGCCACACATTAATAATACAAGTTATTACAGTAAATGTCATTTGTCATGCTCACTTTTTACCTTTCCATTCTTCAATTGCATGTTCTCTTTCTTCCAATTGTGCATCATAGATTTGAGGTGGAGGCTACAAAGAAAAGAAAGCCTATAGCGTATCTACCACATCAGGTTAACACAACCAATCATAACTAAAAAACCCCTAAAAATTACAACTTTTTTAGCATTTTTTTACCTTCATCTTTGGCAGTCTTTTCTTCCCTATACCTCAAAGACATATTCATTTTACAACTTCAGAATTTGCTTTTAAGTCCTGCCTCCCACTGAAAGGCTGTTTAAAAGCATCAACTAGAATTAAACTCATTGTAAGGCTTTATGGGGCCTTAGAGAAAGTTTCCTTTCCAAAAAGCCACAGATTACCACCACATAGGCAACTCTTTCTGTAAAGTAAAAGGAACTATCAACAGCCACTTTCAAAATTACAACTCCACTCCAGCAGCTGTTCTTCAGGTGATTTTGCCCCTAATGTTGATCTGAAGTCTTTATGTGTGACTTTTGCTAGCCAAACAATGAGTTCAAAGCATACTTTTGACTAAAACTAAAGGTATTCTTTAAAGTTATTAAACTGATATCTTAAAATTTATTTTAAATGCAAACTTACAGCTTCTGCTTCAGCTGGATCATACCAGACAGTAATATAAGGATGACGTAAGGCTTCATCTACAGAAATTCTCTTGTCTGGATCTACTACAAGCATTTTTGATAATAAATCTCTAGCTTGGCTGGCTAGAAAGTAAAAATGAAAAGAACATACATGTAAAAGAGCCGCACAGTTTAACATCTGACACAGGAAATGAATACAGGGAACACAGGACATACACTGTAACAGATTTCACTGTGAAAACAAGCCCACAAATCCAAGATTTCCTATACAGCTACATTTTTTTTTTAAAATAAGGTCCCACCCCTTTAGTGTAAACGTTATTTTGCTGTTATCCAAAATAAACCCTGAAGCTAACACCAATCACCCTCAATTTTGAACAGTTCTGCTGTTACATGGGTCACAGTTTATTTGGCAATAACTACTGAACATAAAACACACTAAACATTTTTAATAAGCTATGAAAAATACATCTTGGTACAGTAATGATCCAATTCCTATAATATTAAATTAGTTTTTCTTTTACAGGTGTTACTACACGATAACTGGCTACCCATTGTTGCAGTGGCACTTCACTGGCATTTCTTTTTTGTCTGAATGATCGTTGTCATAATAAAATAGGCTACAACAGATTATTCTATATAAAAAAAAATTTTGACCATCTAGATAATCTAATAAGGTGGCTTTTTTTTTTTTCCATTTTCTCAGTAATTATCTAAAGTCAAAGTATAGTCAAAATGAGTTATATGCACCTATCAACTAGAAAAAGATAATTACAAATAACCTCCATAACAAGTACTACTTTCAGAGAACATTTAAGCGACAGACATTATTCAAGGGATTAGAACAAAGAAAATTAAACAGAATACTGGAGACAGGGAAATAGTTCTGTATTTAATGACTACTACTAAGATTCCAGGACATGTCATAAATGAAAGACACAGAAGGTATACAACTTCTAATGTTGACACATTGCGATAAACATTTTATATTAGTTGTTTTAATTAAGTGTACTGCAGACATTTTAAACTAGCATCTTTAAAAAAAAAAAAAAAGAGAAAAAACTCGCCTTACTTTTTAACTTGTCACGATCAGATTCTGATGGAAATATCCAGTCTGGGAAGAGCTCTTCAAACTTAATACCGGGATATTTTGGCCTGTTTTCTACATAATTCCTCACTGTAGGTTGTAGTTTCTTCATGAAATCTGCTGATGGTGTTCCTAATTGTTCAATAACTTTATTCCATTGATCAATATCTGCACCACATCTTTAGGAAAATCAGCTGAAGAATTTGAAGTCTGCACTATACAAAAATATCACTTACAGAAATCTGAAAAGTTAATGAAAACTTGAACAAAGGACACAGGTATGAGATTCATTCTAGCATCAACAGTATCCTGAGATGCCATGCAAAAAGTTAGATTGACATAAAAATAAGATTCAGATTTTGTAATCTTAAGCACAGGCTAGAAGTGCTGCACAATGCATTATGCTTAAGTATCTTTTGCTAATTATTACCTATTGGCTAGTATGGAAAGCAATACTTTTTTGGACTCCAAAAGAAGCTTTATTTGGCAGCTGTATCCATAGCAAAACAACTATAAGAACAGAAAAGAAAGGCTGCTGTTGAATCTTCTGAAGTACAACATAATACTATCAACATTGAAGATTCCTGAATGCAGGGAAAAATAGATGAAAAAACCTAAAGCACAAATACATCCAATTCAAAGTAAAGAATTTTGTGCCTGTCTCTTAAGGAAATTAGGCTTTGGGTTGTAGCATTTGGGGGGGCGGGGGTGTTGTTGTTTGTTTTGGTTTTTAATTTTCAACCTCAGAAAAGGTTCAAAGGAGTTCTGAAGTGAATCCAGACTCCTGTACTGTTTCAGCAGGTTCTATTGTCAAAGTGTATCAACTGTGGTAACACTCAAAGATGACTCTGTTCTTAAATTCACAATTTATATATTTTATAGGAATTGCATTTACAAGTTGCAAGTTGAAATTGTCTCTCACATTTCTTCTGGACTGTTCCTTCTCCCTCTTTCAAGTGAAGGTATTTCCCCTAGACATGGTGACACTTGTTACAAAGATACCACAGTCTGCTCTGAACGAGCCTAGTCGGGATAACAAAGCTCATTTATCACACTGAGAAGACACTGCATTAGTATTCCTGATATTTAAGTTTACTCAGATTTACACTTTACAGTTTTTCCTGATAAAAAGAATGTGCAATTCCAACAGAGTCTAGCCATCGACCTTGCAAACATTCATAGCTAAATTCATAATCTAGCACTTCAACCTATCCATTCTCATAGACAGATTTTCTAACAAAACAACAAATTTGCTGCACTTTGAATCAAGATGTATTTAAAAAGCACTGAGGTGCTTTTATTTCAGTTAGTGTGCCAAGAATACAACTAGAAATATATGCATAGTCACTGCTTCATGCTAAGACTTTAGACTTTTGATTGAAAATTATATTTGCTTATTGAATAAATTCCAATGGAAAAAACTATATTAAAATCAAAATTAAGAGGTCAATATTGTTAACTCTCATGCTAAAACAAAGCACATACAAAGAAAATTTTAACATACATCAGGAAATTTTGATCCCAGCTGGAAAACTGGTGAGATCTCCACCAATCTAAATTCAAGATGCTGCTTTATGTTTGAGTAACAGCAGTCTGGTTAGTCAGTTAATCAAGTTAGAGTCCAGTCTATTGTGGTCTCAGAGCACTGGGGAGAGGGCAGGAAAACTTAATGACCTATCCCACTTTAGTAATAAAAACAGGAAAAAACCACCTCAGTTGGATTGCTCCAAAGTGCTGATACTGAAAATTGGGGAAAAAAAAATCCTCAGTATAGGGTTGGACTTGAAATAAGCTAAGTCTCTTATCAGAAACCCAAAGAAAACCTTAATTTCAACGTAAAGCATGCAGAGCATGCTATACAAATAACCTTGCAACCTGCAGACAAAACCACCCTTCCTGTTCTAGTAACCTCAGGGTCAGAAGTAACCAGATGTTTAGCCCATGCCAAGTGTATCTGCCTATTTTTGCGGACGCTGGAAGAAGAGAAGTTGAAAACAGAGTCCTTAATATAATCACAATAAAGCACGATTTTTCCCAAGAAAGCATGAATACCTTCTCATGCTTTTCACATCATTCAGGCAATTAAGTTTCCTTCACCACCTGGGCAGAAAAAGCATTAAAACCACTCTGGTGCTCCTAGGCTTTCCATTATTTCATCTTAGGTATCTACAATGCCTTGCTTTTCTACATTTCTCATTTCCAGTGCAATTTCCAGCAATTGCCAGTAACTCAGGCCTCCATAGCACCAGTCAGGAGCACATTCAGTGCATCCATTGCCTTGGCAACACAGAGCATCTCATTCCACCAGAGCACTGCTCCAAGTATCCCAGCAATCCCTGTCAGAAAATACAAACGATTGAGTCTAAGAGTAAGTTTTCCTGAAGATACTCAAGGGCACATCATTAGGCAACATGCTGAACCAGGTTCCTTGCTCTAAATGCCCAAATACTAAGACATTTTAAAATTTAAGTTAAACAAACAACCAAAAAAACCCCAAACACAACCTGCCCCCCAAAAAAGGAAAGCTTCATGGCCATGCATGCTAGCATCACCCATAAAACACACTGTCAAAACAATCCTGCAGCTGAAGGTAAAAGAAAATTACAATCTGACTGAAGCAGTTATCACTCAGGAAAAGTTTCAAGAACACAAACAGTTATCAGTATTTCACATTAAAGAGAACTGAAAGTCTTACAAGAAGTAAGAAACCATGTAAGCACAGCTATGCACTTCGACAAGATATCGGGGGAGAAGACTCCTTGAAACATAGACCGGTGGCACTTCAGTGATCTCCAGAGAACCACAATGATAACTTGTGTAATCAACAAGTATGGACAAAATTTCCTCCATTTATTCATGAATAAATCAAAATAGTCCATGCTAACATGCAGGTGAAAGACACATAACATACATGAAGAATTGTGTTAGGTTGGTCTGAAGGCTTCAAAAGGTAAAACAATAAGTATAGAAAGGAAGAAAGGTGGAAAACAAGAAGACTTACTTAACAATTAATCATTTGTACTACTAAAGAATGCATGATCAACTGCTGAAGATTAGTGTCATGAAATTTAGCATTAAAATTGAAAGTCCTCCTCTATAAGATACATAGGTATCTCAACATGTACTTGATATCCTTAGTGGTGGACTCAACTCTTCCTTGCTGACCTGCAAAAATATGATACTTTCTTCAAAATCTTGGACCACAAGTAGCTACAGCTTCTTAAGACCTATGGTCATAACTGGCAATTGTGGTTTAATTACATTGTCTGGGTACTATTTATTTACTGATCAATTTTTAATGTTTAGTCCTACAACACTACTACTTCATAAGATATTATTTATAAAGGATAAAATTGGTTTTCCTCCAATTTTTATAATTGGAACTTCATAATGAGTTAAATGTTTTGAATTTTGTTTCTAGGGAAATATTTTTAAATGCATCAAAATCTTCAAAGAACATTTACTTTATTAAACGATCACTTCTGTTCACTTAATACAGTGTAAAGACTTGTTTGTGATCCAGTGAGGTATTATTGAGATTTCCAATCTCTAAGGCACGAAAACGTATCTATAAGGGTTTTGTTTGTTTTTAATACAGTAAAATTTCCTACAATTACTATCGTACAAGAAAGCAAAATTTTATGAAGACAAATCTGGGTCAAAAATATTGGACGGAGAAATGGAGGAATAACAATCTTATAAAAAAAAGTAAGTCCAAAAAAAATTTTCAGAGAATGAAAAAAAGTTTTCTTTTTATATTAAATAATAGTAATAAAAAAAGATTTCTCATGCAGTGTGCTTGCAATTAGGACACTGTTGCCCGGCAAGTGCTAACAAGCAAGAAAAAAAATCTGATTGAAACTCAAAAAATTGTACAATAAAAAAAGTCTACTGTTCAAACAAATAGTAAGCAAAATCCATGCATAGTAAAAAATAACTTTGTAGGCTTTTGTTTATAATACTTATCTACAAACAACAAGAGTAAGAAAATACACTTACTACTACTTATTTTTTAAACCTAACAGTATCCTTTTTTGAGCTACAAAAGCTGCAGCTCTTGATATAAATCCTACGTATTCAACCAGTACAAATTACATTACATATAGTCTACTAAGAAAATAAAATGGAAAGTTCAACAATTTGGTTAGTGACACTAATTTCAAATAGTACAGTAGATCTATTAAAACATATTATTGAAAATATTGTTTATGTTTTTATACTTATACAGATCAAAATAATTGTATTTCTGTTGGAAGTGGAATGGGATTCAAGGATGACTAGGGAAGGATACGATCAGTGCCTTGGAATATCACACAACCTTTCACCAATTCTCCCATGATGCACCCAACTGACCAGATATCAACTGAAAGTAAAAATGAAATGATCAAATTATGAAGTATTGTGAACAAAAGTGAGGAAAACAAACAAAAACATCTAGCATCTACAATAAAACACAACAATGTGGAAAACCAAACTGCTAACATGAATTTCCAATCATATCAACACCAACTGACTGTTGCTAAATTTTGTTATCAGCATTTTGTAAAACATAATCAAGTGTTTACATTTCTGAAACGACAGTGAAGAAGGATACAATCTCTTCCTGGGAACAGGACTTTATGGAGGACCATTTCTGCCATAATGCACCCAACAGACCAGATATCCACTATCATACGTTAGGTGCAACAAGGACAAAAGATTAAAGAGGTTTTTTTAAATACCACAATTATTTATTCGTAAGCTCACACTGTATTCCTACAGTCCCGAAGATAATTTATTTTTTGTCCCATCTAGAACAACCTCTACTAAAGTTCTGATGCACATCAGCACTTGCTGTATGACAAGCTGCCTTGCACATTAACGAAAGGGGTTTTTTCATTATCAGTGGCCCAGCAAGGTCCTGCAAGTCCCTTGTTTTACACAGCCAACGTCACACGTATACCAAAAGCATGGTATCCCCAAGCCCCTGAGATAAAGCAAAAAGATATACTAGCACAGAAGTCCAGAGGAGGTATCCTAATACTCCACAGCTAGTAAAAATCAGCAGGTAAAACCCCCAATAATGCAAGTCAAGGACAATTTCCTTGCCAGCAATTTTGTTGGCTGAACGTTCAATATATTATAGCTGTGTTGTTTTTAATAATATAACAGCCAGCCTCTGAATGTTATGCAGATTTAAGAGAGTATAAGGCATGGTTTATGACAGGGAACTGAAATAGATTTTAATAATCAGACAGACAGTCAAAAGAAGATGCTTCAGAATAAAATCACATTGATAAAAGGGTTTATTGTTTATATATTGATGGTTGGTTTTTATATCGTCCAGCATAAGTGTCTCAACATTTTTTTGTAGAATAAAAAAAATGGCAACAGGACAACACATGAAAAGATGTAACAACAGCAGGGGAGAGGGAGCAGTATATGGTAAATGGAGATAGGGACCCAGAGCAGAAAACTATTGTATTCTCCAAAATTATTACAGTGTAACTTTTGTTATTTCCAATACCATGATTAACATACTTTAAAAACAGACATGGCAGGGGGAAACCAGCCCTTCCTCCTCCTTTTAAAGCTGTTACGTTCCGAGACAGATATGCTATAGACAAAAGATTTAAAGTGTTACTCCAGCAACTTACCATTCTCTTTATATCCCATTCCAAGAATAACCTCTGGTGCTCTGTAATACCGCGTTACTACATACGGAGTCATCATAAAGTTAGTACATGCTGTTCTTGCCAGTCCAAAATCAAGGATTTTGAGCGTACAATCTGATTTTACTACTATGTTGCTGGGTTTCAAATCCTAACAAGAAATTATTTCAGTTAAGGAAGGATCAACATAGAGAATAATGCACACACACCACTCCACAGTAAATATACGCCACCAATTCACTTTATTAACAACCACATATTCCTGCTCTGATGTGTCTGCTTATTTATACACAGACCAGAGACAAGTTAAATGCTACACAGCTAAGTACTCAAAAAAAAAAAAATCACTGAAAACCAGAATCAAAGTTGTCTCCAGAGTCTTATTTTACCCAGTTGTGCACTGATAGTATAGTCAGTTACATAATGCTCTGTGTATATATGCACAATGTGTACATATATCTGCTTCCTTTAACACATTAAGTGGACCTATTTCGCGTATGAATAGTTGCATGGTAAAGACGACTGTGTTCCAAGTACTGTCATTATTAGGGCACAGATCCTAAAGACAATATCATGAATTAGTCAAGCATCTGTAGGAAAAGGAGTATCCCAACAACACACAAAGCATTAATAAATTTATTTGTTAATGACAGATAAGCCACCTGCGTTATAGTGATTAGCAAATTTCACAGAATTAGGATGTACTGAAAACACAAAGTTACCCAATGGGTGAAGAGCAAAATAAAATACTTTAGGAGATATGCCTCATGGGAACAGTCAGTCTTGCACCCAAAGGAATACACAGTTAGGGAAAAGGAACGACGTTCTCAAGTACAGAACTTCCTTTTCTTAAAGGAGATGGGGATGTGCAAATAGTTCACATGGGTTTGCATATTTCAGGAAGGCAACAAATCTTCCACAGAATGCTACTGAATTTGCTCTGTTTGGTCACAGACTCTGAGTAATTCCTACATGTAATTCCGACTATTCCATTCCTTTCCTAGTCTGGTTTCTTTTCAAAACCAAATCTCTCAATCTAATCAAGAGTTTCCACTCCAGAAAGGTCATTTTGTTTTGACCCCAAACTAACCCAACCTAATGCTCACCACTTTAGCTTCTCCATTCAAATAAACTTCACATCTCTCTTCAGCTATTCACAGTGTGGTTCCTCTCATTGCCCATTTTCTTGTCCAACCAGTATCAGTTCTGCTGATCGCTCTGTTAGCTCCTATGAGCTCAAATTTCTCAGCAAATATTGTGTCTCCCCTTTAGCTCCAAAATCACAGTCAACATGTCAGGTGGAGTTCAGCTGGAGTTCCAGCCCTCCCCACTTCAGCCTCTTACATACCTTACTCCATTATTTTAGGAAACCTCAGTACCAAGACTATCTGGATACAGACTTAAGCTACCACAGGATTTTCATGGTAGGTTTTTCTCAGCAAAGTAAGGAAGTAGATCTGTTGTAATTTATACAGCTTCTTAATTATGTTCATGGATTGAACATAAAGAAAAAAGCACATTAAACTAGAATTGGACAGAGCGTTCAGCCACCAGGCAAAAAAGAAAGAAATTTAAAAGGCAAGTGTGTCCAGGAAGTAGGGGAAGAAAAGGAAAGGAACAGAAAACAAGCAGAACCATCAAACAGGCTAGTCATGAAAAAAAAAAGAAAAAAAAGAGTAGCAGCAGAATCACAAAAGCAGAGAGAGATATGAAGTCTGCATAGGACTTTGAAATTCTGATCATTGACAAACTTTAGTTTTCAGAATCACAGAATGGTTGAGGTTGGAAGGGACATCTGGAGGTCATCTGGTTCAACTCTCCTGCTCAAGCAGGGCTACCTACAGCCAGCTGCCCAGGACCATGTCCAGGCAGCTTTTGAATATCTCCAAGGATAGAGATATTTAAGAGGTAAATACTACATTTTAAAGATTCCTTCTTTAGTAATTTGAAAGGTCCACAGATATTCATGTTTTATTCTTTTAATCAGTTCAGCACTAGTTAAATCCACAGAGCTAACCTGATTTAAGACCTATTTACAATACAGTTTTTATCTTTGAACTAAAAACAATCTTCAGGTTTAATAACATTCTTATGATTGAAAGAAATATAAACTTACAAAATAGCAACCCCTTGCCTTGCCCCCTGTTTCATAAGAACATCTGTGTTCATAAAGAGTATTGTTAATGATCTAATACTACCTACTCTGTGGATGATACCAGCTGAGTGGAGATGTTTGATACCACATAGCATTTGGTAAAGAAGATAAGACATTCTTTCATGATCCAATTCCATATGAATAACCTGGCACAAATTTGCATCCATCAGCTCCATAACCAAATATCTAAAGCACAAGAAAGCAAGCATTAAGAAAACTCGAATCTTACTTTTCATATCAGGTTTAAACTTCGCATGAGAGATGTTTAATAAAAGTCAACTACTTTGCTAACATAAGTGTCAAACAGCTTATGATTAAAAAACCAATCATGCATGACCACAGTTTCAAAATTAAATTATTATCTATTCAAATAGTCTTACTGTTAAAAATAAAGTGTTCCATAGTCCATCACAAGAGACTAGAATTCCACTAGTTTTATATACAGTAATAAAGAATAATTCTGAGTTTATGCAGCATGAAAAAGTAAGACTGATTGAAATTGATGCAGAAATTGCAGATAATGTATCAAAATGTATTCCTTTCACTGTATTTTAACTAAAAAAATAAGAAAATTAAGAAAAGCACAGTAAGAACTAAGAAGGAATGATTCATTTTCAATTTAAAAATATCATCTGCCTACCCACTTCAGACACATACGCTTCCCATTTACCCAAGAAGCCCATTCACAAACCACAACAGCATGTTCACTGGAACCTAAGAATACCCCACCAATTAAAGCACCATGAATCCTTTCTAGACCAATTAACATAGCTTGCATAAAAAAGAAATTTATTCAGTTGTTAATTGAGTTCAAAAATACTGTTGTGCTGATGTGATTGGTACAGCAAAAAAAAAAAAAAATGCTATCAGGTTATCCAGACCAAGTTGTTATCCTGAGTTCACTCATTTAGCTAAGGGACAATGCACACAAACCAGACACATATGCAATCAACAGAGTATGGCAGACAGATGAATAAAAGGTAAAGAGCGTTTTTTATTTCCCACTTCCATCTTATGCATGTAGTGAAACAACTTTCTTGGTCTTTCTTAAAGAAATCTAGAAATAAAGACTAATTAAAGGCTAAATTCAGCTTTTAGCTATGCTTTATTTTCAAAATGTGAAGTCTGTAGGATACTGGAAATATAGCTCCAGGCCTTAGGCCAGTATTTGGCAGGAAAATTAAAACAAAAATCTAGTACTTACACATCCTGAAATTCTTCTAGTGACTTCTGTGGTGTAAATACATTTAATAAACTAATTATCTATGAAATAAAAAGAAACATTAGAAGAAACTTCCACTTTAATTCACATAAAACCCCACTATTGCAGAAGTTACTACTGAAAATCAAATGCACACTGTGACTATATACAATTTGAATGTTACTTGGCTTCGCTTAATTCACATGTGCTGAAAAACTGCCAATTCAGAAATAGTTCAAAACTGCAGTTTGTATGCCAAAGGAACTAAGACAGGACAAAATGACTTCTTTCTTTTTTAAAGTTATATGACACCTTCTATCTCCCTCCCCAGTGCCTGAAATACACCCCATTTTTTCCCCATAAATAATAATCTCTTATTTTAAATCACATGATGTGCAAGGAATTTTAAGCAAGGCTGTCCAACAACACATACACAGAGGTACCCCACGCCATCCCATTAAACTTAGATTATCACATACTATTTCCAGAAGAACTGCTAAAATTACTGTACTGTCATCCTTAATAACCACCTTGCTTTTATTCTGCTATTTCTGGACTTCACCAAAAGCTTACTTAAACCAATCCTAAAAGGCTAATTGACTCCAGGAGGTTTGAGACCTGAGGGCCCAACTTCAATGACCAGCAATGTTTCTAGTTCATGTTAGTATCAGAACATAACAGTCACATAAACCTTATGTTCTCATACTTGAACACTGAAGGATTGACATTAAGGCTTGTTATTTTAGAAGGCTCAAAGATTTTAAAATATATTTGTATTGTCCATAGTAATTCACTTCTGTTTACCAATAAATTGTTAGACAGTGCTGCACCCCTACAAACCCCACCAGTTAAACACTGTATTTAATAAAAACCTTGCCTAAGCTCAGATTTAACTACAGTGCAGTTACAAAAAGCCAAACCCACAAACAAACCCACTGCCAAACAGGCTTTGCTGCAGTACAGCTTAACAGGGCAAATGCAACACAGCAAGGACAGGTCTATAAAGCTGACACTGATGGTAAACCTATACCAACAACACAGCAAAAACCTTCTCCTCCTGGCACTTCATACATACTCCAAACAGCTCACCCAAGAACTTAACCACACGTTGTGGAGAACTCCACTAACCATAGCAATCTTTACAGCTTTTTTGACAACTGACAGTAATGGGGGAAAGAAATATAAAGCCAAACTTACATTTTTGTGATTGACGCATTTTAAAAGAACAAGTTCTCTGTAAGCCCTTTTTGCATGGGTTTGATTCTGAAAAGGACGACTCAGCTTCTTTACAGCAACATTTATTCCAAGGACTGTATCAAACGCAGCACTAGAAGTTTTCAAAGACAAACAACTTAAGCTGAAGTCTGTTTGAGGGAGAGGAGGGTGCAAAAGGGACACGCGAGTGAGGAAAGAAATCAAGGTTTGAGACAAAGCATATCCACTAAGCTGTTTATACTAACTTCATCTAATTTTCATTTAGAAAACAAGCACCCTTTAAAATCCACACAGCCTTTAATAAATACAAATAGGTTAAACAGAAGTCACTGACACTCAGAAGTCTTCCTGCCCTCCTTTCTGTCTTAAGACCAAATCTGCTGACTCAAGACTCACATTCAAAACTGCAAGATCTAAAAACATTTTAAGCTTATTTGAAATCAAGAAGCATTTCAGTTATGTAATCTGTATATTTAGAGTATTTTTGCTTGCTGACTAACAATCATTTAGTATTTGCAATAGAAATTTGTCTTTGCTAAAGGAGAGTCACAACCATGTCTCCGTGGTCCATTTTGCAAGCATCAATACTCTCCTGTATGTGGATGGTTTACAACTACAAACAATTGTAGTGCCTAGCAGTAAATTACATTCATCATCTGATTTGATGGGGAAAAAAAAATAAAAAAATCCATAGAATTGAGAAATATGGAAAACTCAGATTGCAGGGAGCAATAAAGTGTTTCAAAGTGAATGTGACCATTAATTTTATCTTGTTTTTCAGTTGTGCTTGTGCCTTCCCTCTGCAGTTTGAGATTGAGGTGTAAACTTGCTTTACTAGCTGTAAGAACCTAAAGCTAAATTATCTGTATAGGCAGAACAAGACTAAAGTGGGAACATTCTTTGTTATTAACACACAGACTATTTGGCAAAATAAATATGAATTCATACCACAAACTACTCAAGAGTTCCAATCTTTAAATAGTTTCAGTTTTAAATAAGGATTCCCACATTACTCTATTTCCATTTAATGTTACTTTTATAAGGTAGGAAAGAATTCTCTTTCACATACATTTCCAAGCGTATTTAAGCTCTTTGTGAGCTCCTTCCCTATCTCATCAAGATATGTACAATACCAGACTTAAAAGGACCATCATATTGTAGTACTTTTACAAAAAGTACAAAAAGTACAGCTCCCCTGTGACAACAACAATACTCAAATTATATGAAGTTTACCAGCATCAAGTCATTGCTTTCCTGACTGCAAAAAGCAATACTACCACAAAACAGGGTTTACCCATGAGATGTTGTGTTTTCTTGGAGGCATGTCCCAAATTACTTGCCCCAAATTTGAATCAATGTGCCACTTGCACTAAAGGCTCGCTAGCATTTATTTCGGCTTTAGTTCTGTGAAATACGTAAGTCATTGTTCAATGATACAATCGCTCTCAGATTTAAAGTCTCTATGTCTGTGCAAAACAAAACACAAAATGGGAGGAAGGCAACTGGCCAGACAACTGGAGAAATTATTTTCCTCCCAAATATGAAAGCATTGATGCTTCAGTATTCAACGCACCTAGAAGATGTTAGATGTAAATTATAAAGTTTTGCATATGTTAATGACTTTAACTACACCTGGGAATTAGTATTAAAAAAATCAATAACCAACAGGATCTGCATGAATTAGTAGTTCAAGTCAATCACAGGTCAGCTGACAAATATGGTACGGCTCAGTCTGAGCACATATGAAGAACTCCACCTGAACCTCTTATTTTGCTCAAAAATTTTGCTCTTATTTCAGAACTCAAAAAAAAAAAAAAAGAAGCTGTCTGGTATCTACACAATCCAAGGGGAAGAATTAAAAACAGACTGGTAGAAGAAAGAAAAAAAAATTTATAAAAAATTGTGTGAGCATGCCTTTCTTTAATTTACCAAGAAAAAAAAAAAGATAAGATAACCTCTATTACCACCAAGACCACACTTCTAAATATCACCTCATTTTATATAAAAGAAAAAAAAAAAATTATGGATGTAATTGGTGTTAAATTTCTTTCCCCATCCCTGCTGATTTGAATTCAAAAGAAACTTTTTCATCACAGCAACTGTTTCAGGCACAGATTTTTAAAAAGCAGATTTGCTAGAGTCTACCCAATTACTGCCTTGGCTACTAACAGAATGTTTACAAATTATTTCAGCATTTGATATCATGGAAGAATCTCAATCTCTATCCCATTGTATAACACGGATTCCAATTTGATCATGGTGAATTGTAACAGGGTCTTCACAGCACTTGTGATAGTTTTGCAAATAGTAACAAACTTATCCCAACTGTTTCTTCAACTGCAACTGTAAGTAAAATTATCAACACAGTTAAAGCTGTGCTATTTATAAGATCATGGTTTTGCTGCATTGCAGGACAAAAGAAATTTGCTAGGGCAGAAAAATCAGATTCATTGGAAAATTTATGATATCAAGGACAAGAAAGGAAAAAAGATGTCAGGAAGTTGAAGACAAAAATTATTTCAAAAGCATAATTTTGTGTGATTATTCAGTCCTAAATAGATTACAAGACTTCAAATATATTAATACTTAGGAACAAAGAAGTGCAGAAAGTCACATATAAAAGTGTACTTTGTATATAAAATATAAAATACAAAAGCTATATCCAATTTCTCTCCTAGCCTGTTTGCAGTGCGAGCTAGAAATACCATATGCATAACAACCAAGTTACTTTTCCATCTTCCTAGAGCTTTCATTTATCACTTTTCCTAAGTATGTATTTTTAAAACTACTTATTTTCCTACATTTTAATATCAAAGAGAAAACTAAGCAGAAGCAATACCAATGGAGTTTCCCATTACTATTCTGAGAAAAAAATAGCAAAATTCAGTCCTCTCCTAGCTGAAGTGACACACATGGTATTAAAAATTTCTCACCAAAAAATAAAATCCACACACAAAACTCCAGAAATACTTTCCCTAATTTTTATGTTAAACACTGGATGATAAAAAAAAGCACCACATCTGTGTGCCACACTAATGACTTGACAGTTTTTCCAGCCAAACATGACAGGATAGCACTCATCTTACACCAAGTTTTCTACATTGTACATCCTACTATTTTGTAACTTTTCTTTGTGTACTGCAAGAAATTTTAGGAGAAATTAAGATTTTGCACCCTCTTCGACTTGGCCTTTGTTTTCAGATATTTCACATGAAGATGAAAATTTACACAATGTTTCACTTTGTTGTTTCATAAATCAAGTATTCTCAAAACAAGTCAATAAATCAGATCATTCCTTCTTCCTCCCAAAACATTGACCTTAACACTTCCCAAACTTCATTTTGAAGCAGACACCCAATTTAAGTCATATAGTTTAGAAACCCACTACTTGTGATGAAAGGAGAAACTCTTACAACCCCCCTAAATTCCTGCATGCCATCTAGAACAAGCATAACTTTAAGCATATTTATACCTGGAAAGTGTTAGCACTATACTAAATCTTACCCAAACACCAATAACCTAGATCTAGTATGCCTATCCCTTCATCACTCAACCCACTAAAGAAGAATGAAATACAGTGTTCTCATTTTGCTTATTTTTCACCTATTAGCAGGACAATAGGGGTATCTAAATACTTTAAAAACAAAGGAATGTTCTCACAAAAAATGCACTCTTCCTACATCTAAAACTTATTATGGTTATGAAAAGACCAAAAAGACATGGGTAGGTGCTGTATAAGGAGTTGCTCACAATACATGAGTCATCACACTTATTCTGCAGAATTTATAGACTAAGAGAAACCGCAGACTGGATTTAAAGCATGAACAGCCCACCCTGTGTTGTGATTAAGTCTAAGATTAGAGAGTTCCTGAGCATATCTGTTTGCTCCCCGTGTATGGAATTAAAAAGTGCACCAACAAACATTTCTGCTATTACCAAGTAAGTTTTGCCCAACAAAATATGGGCTGGCACTAAGTAGTGCAGAATGGATTGCTGCAGTCTAAAAAAAACATTTGAAAGTGTTTACCTTTAGCTGGCCCAGAGGTGTGGTGCCATACAAGAGACTAAGGTTCAGGATCAGACTAACGACTCTCACGTCCTGGGCCAGTGGAGGCTGGACACATAGCTGAGGTGACACACCAAGGAAGAGCCGGCCAGCCCAACCCCTCACACAGCATCCCTTTCTGGTTAATCCATGGAGTGACAATGACACTGATTTGCCTCATCCTGCCAGTTAATGGCAAGGCACTGCATTGATGGCTCCTAGAAATGGACAGGAGTGATCGGGAATAAAAGGGGGGGAAGAAAGGGGGCCATGATGAAGAAACGAGTAAAACCCAGAATCTCTCACCATCGCATTGTCATACCTTACACTGCAATATCATAACTACATGGGGAATGTGAGAACTAGAAACAGAAATAAATTGGTTAACGAGAAGGAAATTTGTTGACCATTTTAATTTATGCAGTTATCCAAATATTAGTTTTTCCCTGAAAACAAAAAAATAGGTTTGCACATGAACTATAGCAAGCAGCTGTTTTAGAATTTATTTAGTTCATAACCCTGTAGCAAGAGACAGAACTTATCATCAGTATTTTACATTCTGGCACCTCCATCAGGAATACATTCAAATTTTGGTTTATATTTATAGCTTTTTATATTTAAATAAAGTATTTATTACTCACCAAACAATGCCCTGTGCCCCTGATCCTATGGGCTTCAATTGCTGGTAACGTTTTAGTACAGTAAATGTTGAATCTGCAACTTGAACACTGTAAAACTGACTATCGCATTTACTGTCACTCATGGTGTAGTGTCATGTAGTTTTCTCTCTCAAGGACCTGGTAAAGTTTTCAAGATCTTAAAGAAAGAGAAAGAAAACAAATGTTCAATCTTTCACTAATGTCAGGCAGACAAGATGGAAAATACATTATACATATTTTAATACATATTAATTTTTCAATAGAACACCATTAAATAAGCATTCTTTCAACTTCATGTATTACCACTGCTAATGAAAAATACTTGCAGACAGCAATAATTATAGCCTTCACAGCTTTAAGTAAATGTATGTTTTCATTCCAATCCCTAAAACAAAAAGCAGCTAAGTAAACAACCATAAAAATAAACAAGAACACCCAAATCCAACATTTCTCTACTCCTCGAATGCTACTCCCTAACTTAGAATTACTCCTATGTGCTAGGACTGTATTAATTTCTGTATTGCAGGAAAAAAAAAATCATAAATTATGTCTTTCAAACACCGATAATGCAGAAAAAAAATGAACAGCAGAAACCCATGGAGTCCATGGACATAGAAGGAAACAGGTTTTTAATAAAAGACTTGAAACAAAACAACTGCCCCCAAAATCCCCATGGCTCCTGCAGTTTCTCCAACATCCCTTTCAACCTAGTTCAGTAGGAAATTTCAAGCAGTGCTCTGTCTCCTCACCTCTGCCATGCATCCCTTCCCTGATCCATACCTACTGCAACCCATCCTCCCTCCCACTTTAAACACACCATCACACCCTATGCTATCAGTTAGTGTACTTACAATCCCACAAGAATTAAGAGCTTTGTGCTATAGTTTGAAAGAGACTTCCATGCCACAATAGAGAGTAAGTTATATTCATCTGTCAAGAATGAATTAAAGGTAGGTAATTACATCGGAAAGCAAGGTAATGGAGTAAACCTCTTTAGCTCTAAAGTGCTAGAGTAACGAGAGCACAGACCTCTAGTTTTCCTGGGCCTCCATCCCTCTTCCAAACCTCACAAGAAAATTACCTCAGTAATTACTGAGGAGGTCTCTAACAAATTCTCCCATTTTTAATTTCACATTCACTATGACAGATAGTGTCATTACAGCCCAGAGTAAATTGCACAGTCAAGTGTTCCTTGAAACAGGAAATGAAAGCAGATCACCTTCCCTCAGAGCAGCTGTCCTAACCACCAGCCTGTACAACATCGGTTTTAGCTAAAGAGAGCAGCTAGTCTCTCTCTCTTTGCTTGTCTACAGAATATTTGTGAGCCAATGCAAAATCGAAAACCCTCAAGAGCAACCCAGAAGGGCATACAGCCACACAAATAGCTTTTCAAGAATTAAAATTTGGACCTCTCTCTTCCTAGGTGCACGTAGGAGGGAGCAGCATCTTTTCTGTGGCTTAAGCCAGCAGATGAACTCCAAGAAATCCACAAGTGAAAGAGGCAGAAGACCTAGGAATCCTAATAGAGACTGAGTTTAAATTGAACTGGTAATGGTTAGTCTTAAGGGATTCTCAAGAGATGTTTAGAGTACCTTTTACCTTCTAGTTTTTCAATCTAAGCAGCATGTTAAGAAGCAGATATTCAACTCGGTCACCTCTGGCAGCAATTTAGACAGTAAGTTCACTTTATATTTCCTCTTAGAAGCTTCAGAAAAAAAGCAGAGGAGAAAGAATCAGCAAAAGGGAAATGTGAGCTACCAACTTTCTGCCTCTGCCACAGCAGTAGTAGGGGGAAGGAAGAGAATTACATCTCCTATACGGTATTTTTAGGGGCAGTCAAATGCAGTTCCACAACCAGCTCACACTAATGAGACCAAAATGGTGCCTTAAGAGGTGCTCTCAACCTCTCCTACTACATCCCAGGAAAACCCCACTCTTCTTTCTGACCTTTTTTATTACTCCAAAGCTATGCACTCTGAGGTACCAGAATTTTTGATTAACAGTCCCCGAGCAGCCATGGTACTTTCAGTGAATCTTCACACACTGGAAGAAAGGTACAACTGGAAGGTCGACAACCTATGTCTGAAAAGGACTTACAGAACAAAACCAAAAAAGTATAGATTTTGCATAAGCTGGGTATCAAGTTAAAGACCTGTTAGTTACACAAGAACTATGCTGTACCTCTTCATGGGTTAATAAAACACTTTTCTATAACAGAAATAAAGAAGTAGGGGAAAAGGAAGTTATCCTGAACCAGAGAAACTCTCCCTTTAAGGAATTTTGTCTGCCCAAAGCCATCTTTTGAAAATCATTCAGAGGTCAGGATAAGCTTTTAGACAAGACCCAAAGAGGGAATTAGGCATCACAACACACAAGTTATGTATTCTGACACCCTTGGCAATTCATCGTGTTAAGTACTTGACCTCTCCACAAGCTGAGTCTTAATTTTTATTTGGGCTGCAAGCTGCTCGGATGCATCAGGACATACATTATTTCAGACACACACGCTAATGTAAAATTAGGTACCGGGCGATTGTAGCTGTTCACAGGACTTCAGTCAGACAATTATTTGCAGGCCACATCCCTCAAATGAAAACCAGATTTCCCATTGTTCAAGGGAAAAGTATATCTGGCAAATAAGTTTCTTAATCCTGAGCTGTTACTCTCCTACCTGAAATAATTTGATTCATCACTCCAGCTAACAAGCTCCACACTTGCCCATACAGGAATTTTTTGGAAGTAGGCATTACTTCCATTTCTAAAATATAAGTTTATGGCTTTCTAGCTGCGCTTGCACCAAACAAGACCAGCAGCTAATGTAAAAGTCACAGGATGGTCAGCAAACATACTTCTAATTATTAATAATAGTATATTACTGAATCACAGTGTTTCAAGATGTTTTTCCACTTCAGAGCATACATGAGATGCATATAAATTGAGTGTTGGTTTGTTGGGTTTTTTTCAGGTTTGGTTTTTTTTTAATGCAACTTGCTTGTATCATTGGGGAAATTTAAGAATCACAAAGCTGACTGAGCACATCACATGTAATAAACTTACAGGAGTAGTTTTCAACCTGCCGTTCATGAACAACAGGAAAATAACCAACACACCAAACCTACCATCAGTAGGCCTATGAGCTTTTATACAGAATTCCACTATGACATTCTTAGAAGTTGAAAGCAACTGCACTATAGCACACATCCTGTATTAAACAGTCACTTCCCTAAAAGGCATTTATTAAAATGTTAACTTATTATTAACCAGATCTGTCCTTTGGATATCTTCAAGTCAAAAGCTTCTGAAACAAACAGGTCATAGCAGTTGGGAACACATTGCCTGGGCTGTTTTGGTTACAGAAATGTTATTACTGACAATGAAGCATAACAACATCAAGAAACTTATCTTGATTTTTAAGCCTCAAGCTGAAATTCTACTGCTGGCAGATTGAATAGACAATGAACATATCTTTATGAAGAGAAAAGTTAGGGAAATTCTGTGCAGAAAATCTCCCCCGTTCTCTTATTCACTCTTGCAAATGCACTTCAAATTCAGGTGTGCCCTTTTAAGGACTATTATCCAATAGTGGTGAGGGGGTTTTGTTTGGTTTTTTTCTTTTTTTTAATCTTTACAGCAATATGTATCAACAGGTGTGAGTCCAACTGCAAAATCCCAGTGAGTTACCGCCTATGCCTCTACTCACAACCCTTGAACAGTCTGTTACAAAAGGTAAGTGTAGCAGAGCAGTAGCTGAGTAATGGCACTTGGTTACAGCAGAAGTTAGAAGTACTCTGTATCTCTTTAGCAAGCCGACCGTTTTCTTTAAGCCACCCAAAGTATTACTGACTAAAGATTTTACCAACTACCCCTTACAGTACCACTCAGCTGTTAAGCGTACACTGCAGACTAACACTGGAGGTATCTCAGCATCCCTACTAGGGCAAGTCGGTGAAAAGAGGGGAAAAAGTTTAAACATGCATCTGCGGTAACCAATTACGCTCTTGTAAATTATCTAACAGGCATATAACCGAGCAAGAGCACTTCGTACATCTCTTCTAAAACTTTTGCTGAGAAATTGCTTCGGCTCACGAAAGCTCAGGTTCGCTTTCATCGCCTCGAGAGGGGCGCGCAGCACGGGCCTTTCCCTCGCCTCGGCCGCGCTCCCTTCCACCCTCCCAGGACGGGGGAGCTTCCCGGGGACGCCGAGCGCCGGCCCGGCCGCACACG